GAGACTTGCAACATGTGGAAAACTGGGCTTCTCCATAAGAGCTAGAAGGTTGAAAAAATAAAAGAAGAAGAAAAATATATTAGTTACTTCAACTTTAAACTAAGAAATTTAACTAAAGACAAACTTTTGAACTTGCTGTACCATTTGCAAATGAGGCAGATGAAGGCATCCTTTACAGAATGTGTGTGCGGTCTTTGCAGTTTCAGATTTACGGTCAAAGTGATGTCTTGGAGGTAGGGCTGGGCGATATGGCCTAAAATCCATATCATGGTATACTTTGAAGCATGTGCGGTAACAATATATATCGCGATATATTATTTTCTTCACTGCAGCATTACCGAGAGTTGAAAAACTGTCTAAATTCTTTCATCTGTAATAAAATGATCAGTGTGGTTGCTCTACCAGATGTAACAATTACATTTAATATCCAGGCATCTATGAAAACAGAATTTACGAAATTTAACGGAGTTAGAAGTTAGCAGCAAGTTAGCTCGCTAGTTTCCACCTAAACATAATATACCATGTTCTGACTGAGGGATTTCTGAAACAAATTAAGACGTACAGCTTTGCTATTACTTCCCAAATAAATGAAGACAGGAAAGTAAACAGCAGTGAAGTTTGTAGGGTTACTGAAGTTTGGCTAGCTGCTATATATGTAGTCGGATGCTGATGTTGGATGTGTGGAGCAGTGTGGCTGTTAACTGCAGATCATGGTTTTAAATGCAGAGAAGAATTTGATTGTAAGGTACACGAGGTTAAGGGTCTCCATGCTGTTCTGACTCTCTTTGAAGAGACATAATGTGTAACTCATGTAAAATTGTTTGAAAAGGAAAAGGCAAATGTGTTACTAGAAAGCTACAGAGGCTGCAAAGGTTGAATTTCATATCACCACCACAGCACTTGGTTTAATTGATTTGGTTATCCTACAGAGAAAGAGGAACTTGAAGATATTTGTAGCTTATTTTAGGTTTTAGAAATGTGCTAGATAGGATGTAGAAGTATAGTAGAGACACTGACACTGCCCTGGATGTAATATAGGCCTAAACGTGACATAAACTTAGGAGTAAACTTGTAAGAGACCCTCCCCACCTTGAGCTGTGAAAACAGGACAAAGAGAAGCTAAAGCTGAGTGGAAATTGCCCAGGGGATACCTGGGTGGGGATCTAAATGTTTGTAACTGGATAACTTTGGCTTGAAAGGGAGATGGACTTTTATGACCCACAGGAAGTCACGTACACACAGGTACATAAACATATATACACATGCACTTACACACAGGTACGCACACACGCAGGCACTCGCGTGCTCGCACGCACACAAACATACAAACACAGTGTTTAGTTTTATGGCACATCGTATAGAATGGGGGTCACTTCTATAAAACTGTGTGTAACAGACAACGAAGTTGAGATCTGCAGAGTAATTCTGGGGTTCCTGTACATCTCCCTTTCCATAAGCTGTATTAATAAGTGTGGATGAATAAAAGTGTTGTGAATTGACTACTGAGTCCCGGTGTTGTCTCTGGAGGCCTGAGGAATCCAAGAACCAGGGTGAAACTGTTCAGAGGTAACAACCTGCAACCTCTGAGGCTTTTTAAGAACACATTTGCTTGTTCTATTTGATTTGTGGTTTTCTGTGTAATGATGTCATCTTGTTTTCTTTGTTGTCCTGAGGTTTTAATCCTGTTTGATGTTTATTACGAGGTTTGGAGCAGTGGCTTCTAACTGCAATTGAACACTTCATTATAGAATTATTAAAATAAATTGTTGCATTGTTTCCCAGATATCAGGTGAACTTGGGTGTTTACACAAAAGCTGAATTCTTTATAAAGGACCTGTTACAAAGAATTAGAGAATTGCAAATTGTCTCTGTTTATTGCAAGAAATCAGATCAAACAAAATATTGTAACTGTTCTAAATAGAAGCAGCTTTCACCGTTTACTCTATAGTAAATGGCTTTTTGTTATTCTTAAAAATAATTATACTTCTTTATTGAACACCACCATAAGAAGTCACACACAATTTCTGGTGATGTCAATAAGAAATATAACTGCATCTTTAAATGTTCCATAATTATGATGAACCACATTTTTGGTACAGTGCCCACAAATCAAAATGAGACACAAACAGTTTCAGTCCACTGTTTGGCTTCTTCAGAGGGGAAAGGCCCCAAACCAAAAATTGCAGTCTCTTTGCAGGTGATCCCACCTCTTGTTGATAGAAATCAGCTGCAGCAGCACCAGTGGGCAGAAGAACCTCAGGAATTTTTACAGGCACCCCCTTTAGTCAGTTCATTTGGTATTCCATTTCCTGCAGGACACGAACGATTGTTTAAAGGGGTTACAACTGCATGAGTTAAAATTTACTTACAATTTACTAAATCTAAAAAAAATTTCACTGGTGGTTTTGTTTTATTCACCAAAAATAAGATAACATGCCAAAGACCACCCTGTAAAAAAACTGTAGAAATGTAGAAATCACATGTCCTGACTAGTTAATCTTTGAGTATTTGCTACCTCGCTTTCGACGGTCTCATCAATAAAATATGAATCATAGAAAACACATGAGAGATGAAATAATATAATATATTAAGAACAAAATGTATTGTCCCTTGATAATCCTATTTAATCTGATCAGCATTTAGCATTTGTCAAGGAAGTTGCTGATGAATGTAAACCTTGAGTAAAAGGACCTCTAGTGGTCAATCCCTGTACAGGTAAACGCTGCATTTGTGTTAATGACCAGTAAGAGGTTTAAATTTGTTTTTAAAACCAGAGCGACCCATAAAAATAGATCCAAGACTTAAAAATAAAGTATAAAATAAACTAATCAGGAAAAAAAGGAGAAGACTAAAACACTGGCTTCCAATCACCAATATCACTTAAGTGCGCACAGTGCCACGGCCACTCAGCACAGTCACATTTGAAACAACAATAATCTGTTAAAAGCTACATAAATTATAACCCACTAAGTTTTAGCAGTTACCCTGGTATAGAAAATGAAACAAACACACACCATTATTTATTGATTTATTTATTTTTATTAAGTAATGTTTTTTCAGTTGAAGCCATTTAAAGTCTATTTAATAATGCTGTGTTAGAACTGGCACTTTAAAGCTCTTTGTACTGTAAGGTTAAAACCCCACAGTATTAGAGAGAAAACCCCAGCAATCAAACGATCCCCTATGAGCAAGCACTAAGGCGACGGTGGGAAGGAAAAACTCCCTTTTAATAGGAAGAAACCTTCAGCAGAACCAGACTCAGGGAGGGGCAGCCTTCTGCTGTGACTGGCTGGGGGCATAATTGTGATGTAATTTTATGCTAAGGATACTGAATTTCATGTTTGTTTGTTAGAATTAGTGAATTACCATGATGACTATTATAAGTAAAACTAAAAGTGCAAGTGCACCAATTACTGAAGTCATCCAAGAAATTATATCTAACCATCTTCTGATTGTAGGAATCAGGCCTGAATTAGCTCCATGGGGAAACCTACGCTGAATAATTGCTGAAAAATGATTGAACAATGAGGTAAATGGTGCTCCACAAATATTAAGGATGTGCCTGGTGACAAAAATGACTCCTTGGCCCGCAAGCACAACTGGAGCTGTAATAAGGGAATTAAAACCTGGAAGATTTCTGTGGAGTCTGGAAACAGCAGAGTCTCCGTCCTCTCTTTGAAGAGTTCCTTGGACAATATTTGGTTCATTCTCTTCAGATCTGTTATCTGAAGCTGCAGGGAGACCAACATTGAATAAATCAATGCTGTAACTCTCACTGGTGGGAGAATCTTCATGTCCAAAGTTGTTTATAGAAACAGTGGTTTTAGGAACCTGAGCTGTTTCAGAGGTCTCACTAGTGGGTGTGGTAACTGAGGTAAATGGTGCTCGACCAATATTAAGCAGGTGCCTAGAGATAAAAGCTTCTCTAAGGCCCACAGGCACATCTGGAACTCTACAAGAGGAATAGAGATTTGGAATAATTGAGGTAAATGGTGTTCGACCAATATTAAGGAGGTGCCTGGTGATGAAATCTTCTCTAAGGCCCACAGGCACATCTGGAACTCTACAAGAGGAATCGAGATTTGGAGCATTTGTTTGAACTCTGGAAGAAATAGTTTCTTCTTCCTTTGTTTGAAGACTGCCTGTTTGTTCATTATCTTCGGGTCCTTTATCTGAAGGTTCAGGAAGAATGGCATTTAATAAATCAGTGTTGTAACTCTCGCTGGCTGAAGACTTTTCATCTTCAGCGTTGTTCATATTAACACTGGTTGTAGGAATCTTAGTTGTTTCACTGGAGGGTGACTGTTCGTATTCAAAGTTGTTTACAGAAACACTCGGTGAAGGAACCTCAGTTGTTTCAGAGGTGGGTGACTTTTCCGTTTCACTAGTGGGTGAGGTAAATGGAGCTCGACCAATATTAAAAATGTGCCTGGTGACAAAAATGACTCCTCGCCCAACCGACTCAACTGGAGCTGTAATAATGGAAGACAGAGCTGAAAGATTTGTTTGAACTCTGGAAAAAAACGTTTCTTTCTCCTCTCTTTGAAAACTTCCTTGGTCAGCGTTTTGTTCATTCTCTTCAGATTTGTTCATATCTGAAGGTTTGGGGAGGACGCCATTGAATAAATCAGTGCTGTAATTCTCACTGGTGGGAGACTCTTCATGTTCAAAGTTGTTTATACTGGTTTTAGGAGCCTCATCTATTTCAGAGGTGGTTGCCTGTTCATTTTCATAGGCGTTTACAGAAACACTGGTTTTAGGAACCTCAGACTGTTCCTGT